ACATGACCCCGGTAACGTATCGCGAGGATAGCTACACGCAATTTCAACGCACGCGTGATGGCACGCACTCGCGTGTGTGCACTGTGCAGTCGAGTCTCGGATTGCGCTGCGTCGTTTATTATCGCGCTTTATCGCGTGACCCTGCAAGAGTCCGTTCTATATCGAATTCGTATTATTCCTCACGTTATTGTTTCCTTGTAGCATATCACGGATTCTTGAGATATCGAACATTGCAATGACGTGCGCGATAGCTGTTTTAATATAATATTGAGAGCAGAAAACGATATGTTAATTTAATTGATTGCAATGCGGAAAAAGAAAGAGGAAAGACAGAAACGTGAAAATATCTTATGTTGTATAAAATTAAATTATTTTAATTATACGATTTAATAATATATATATTGTACTTTTAAGGCTCATTTTTTCTGATTAACTTGTGATTAACTTGATGTTTTATCCAATAAGCTTTATTTATGATGCTGTCATGAGTGAAGCCCATTGAAACATCAGGTTAAGTTCAATCACAGGTGAACTAGATACCCAAAAAATTGGGTCTAAGGCTTTCACGGATATTTTGTTCAAAGAAGCTACGCGCTTTGTCCATGTCTTAATATATCATTAAATGCCAAAGTTTCGTGAATACTGCAATTCACTTCATCAGAGAGATAATCTGATACTGATTTAAGTCATTAATTGTTATTTATTTGTTATTTAATTCTGCCAATAACGTTTATATATATAATAAGAGAAGAATCAGAAGTTCGAGAAAAAATATTATATTTTTTCTTTAAAGGTAAATTTGATCATTGATGGGGGGATAAATTTAGACCATTTATCGAAATGGATAAAATTTTTGTGTATACAAAATTTTACATATAAATAACGTAACTCGAGTTTCCCGCATTTGCTACAAATTGCGAGGAGGTTCCATTATTAGCGCTAGCGCGAATTAATTTTGCGGACGAGAGCAGGAAGGAAGGCGTAATTCAACGGTGGCTTTCTACCGTGGCAGTAATTTACTCTGGAATTGAAACAATTAAACTCATTTTTCCTCGGAATAATGCAGATTATTGTGCGAGCACACATGATGGTACAGCTGTCCGCCGGAGGTTGAAAGTGAAAATACCACGGCGATTACGTAACCACCATAATTAAATATTCATTCTCATCCAACAATCTTTCTTTAATGATTCGTTTGTTCATGCTCTTTTTTCTTCTTTCTAATTCCATTTGTCAGTCAAAGAAATGCTTTACAGTGTGTAGTAGAAATTTTTGCTATTTCGATGAAAAATTATAATAGAATTCTCTTAAGAAAATGAGACAATAAAGCTTAGAGTACAGTCAATTTTTTACAGCGTATATAATCGCATCTAGTCTGACTTTTTCTTCACGAGCAACCTTGACATAAAAAGTATTCAAGGTTAATACATCTGCCATTTCGATCAATAATAATAGTAACGATCAAGAACGGCCAAGTGCGAGGAATCTATTACGACCGCAACAATAGATGACGCAACGGTCGTGCTTCAATTTCTCCAGCCGAACACGACCGTTCCTCTCGATTAGCACTGACTGCGATGGTTAATCGTCCGTGTCAGCAGCCGGAAATCCTGACGAATCACACCGAAAAAGAGAGAGGGATGGTGTGTTCGTCCCACGTATAACGAATTACGGACGAGCGCGAACGTGCGTACACGCAAGTGCGTCGACGACAGCACTTGGAGAACAGAGCCGCGAAGTCACAGAGGAAACGGAGGATTTGTCACGAAGGCAGTTTGGTTTAACTGATCTCATCCGTCTTGGAGGCGACGCGTCGCCCAGCCGATTGTCTTCGTTCTCGTTGTCGTCGCGACGACGTTGACAGCTGGTCGACTTCATTGCGCGCCTCACTCGAGCTTCGCTTGCGTCAAACAGATTGAATCGTCTCGATGGCCCTGACAGGCCAACGACCATGGGTTAATTCAACGAGCGTACATACTGTTAAACTACAAACAGAAATTCAAAAAATTACATAGCTTCTTCCCTGTTTTGAGTATTTTCATGCTTCATCTCGTGCAGATTAAAAAAAGAAGATATACTTCATCTAAATCTTTAAATATTCTTTTAGATTTTCTATATTATTGTGTAAAGAATTTTTGGAGAAAATTTATATATATATATATATATATATACTGTTAAAAAAAAAAATGTTAATTTTTATTTATAAACGTATAGGTGGACTTTCTGAGACATTTAAATAAAAATGTGAATTTTAACATTTTTGCGTGTCTTAAAATTAACATTTTATTTGTAACTATATATATAAGCTTTGTAAAAGCTTTATGGTAAAGTTTAGATCGTATAACCTATATACGTATCGCGTGTAAGAGGTGACGACCGAATAATGTGTGCCATTACTGACATTTTCAAACGTTAAGACGGCTTTCTGCGTCCCACGCGACTTCATGAAGTCTTCGTGCTCATTACGTCACAGGCTTTACTCCGTTGATAATTCTTCCTTAGCAGCCTGACGTGATGGATGCGGATATTGAATTAGATGAATTTTTACGACGGTAAAGTATGCTGCAATTTTTTTGAAATGGTTGTGTGGAAAATTCGTAAATAAATACAAAATCGAATAATAAATAAAATAAAGTTGAAGCAACGACGCGACTAACTGATATAGCTTAAAAAATTTGCAAATTTATGCGAAGGTAATCTTGCAGGAAGTTGAGAGTTCCTTGTACAACGATACGATGGGGGAAGGAGAGAGGGAAGGGAGTTCACTTAAATGACGCGGCCCTCCGTTGCGGTGTACTCTGATAAAACATAAGTACACGAGGCACCATACTCTCTACACTCTCTCCGCCTCTCTACACCTCTCGCTGCTTGTCTACGCTAAGCGGTTATTTGCTGCGTTGTTATTATACCGGCGCTGGGCATGCGTGCATTAGTTGTTCATAGTGCTTTATGTGCCACGTTGGCCACGTTAATCGAGCCCTTAAACGCACGCTTTTCTGCACGGGCGATTTAGCCCGTCTTTTTATCACTTCTTACGCGCGACACGCGAAAACGCGTCACTGCGTCGCGGCTCGATATTAAATTTTATGAGAAGGATAAAAATTTCGCCTCCGTGATCGTAAAACGCTTTTACTGCGTGTCGCCACTAATACTTGGAGAAAGTCGCAACAAGAAAGAATTTACGCCAAGTATCGACGAAGGCGTGTTGAATAAATTTTAATAATCGCGAGTAGATATTGGATCTATCAGGCTTTTGGATTTTTTGGTGAATCACGAAATTTGATGACGTCGCTTTTACCTTTTTTATCGAATGTACGTACGTACATTCTACGTACGTACGAGTGCGTATGAAATTATTCGAATTGCGACAATGGTTAAGGAGAATATACGGCGCGAATGGTTTCGTTCAATCCCTCTCTTCTTGGTAGCATTTACATTGACAAAGCCCTACAATATTCTCTCTCTCTCTCTCTCTCTCTTTCTCTTAAAAGTACTCTTGGAATACGAGATGTTTTGTATTCTCTCTCCTCTTCTCTCTCTTTCTTTTTGCCTTCTCGGCTTTTTATCTCCGTCCTCTTCGTTGGGTCCTACACGAAAGTTCAATTTGCACGGTATGTCAAAGGTTCCCTTCGAACCCATTGGACTCCCTTTCTTCGTGATGCACTCTAATTGCAATGAGATTTCGATAAGCGAGATTTCGCGTTTTCTTGTGTAGTCATTCGTGAATCGCATAAAAAGCCTGACATTTTTTATTAGGACTCTTTATATCAACCGCGATGTGAGAGGGAAGAGCCATAAAAATAAAATTTTCAATCATTTATCGATATTATATCGATATCGTATATCTCTCAGAATGATATTTATATATGTATGTATATTATTATTTTACAATAGTATGGTCTGTCCCAAACTTATAGCTCACGAGCTAAACGCTTCCCTCTTTCATCTTTTTGAGCGAGACAGAAAACAAAATAGATAAACACTAGAACAGTCACTGGACAGAATTCTAGTTTCTTATCTTTATTATTTTCCTTCTATTTTGCTCATCTTTTGGCCGGTAACTCATAGTCGGTTCTTATCTTAAGATCGTCTTACACTCTAAATTTCTTGGAGTGAAATCTCACTTTTTTGGAGTGAAAAGTCACTCCAAATATTCATGAAAATACCGCCACTCAAAGTGGAGCGAAATTATTTTATTTTTCAAAAGAAATTGTTCACTCTTCATTTGGATTTATTCTTCAACTCTAAAAAGAGTGACTTTTCTCGGAGAGAGGATGTTTTGTAACTTAATCATAAAGTCGCAGGCATTTTTTGACTAAGTCTTGAAATCTCTAAGTATTTTTCTGTATAGAAGTACAAATATATTAAAGATTAAAGAAGACATGAATTTCGATTTATTACATTTTATTAACGTTTTCAGTAGAAATTAAAATTTCTTTCATTATTCTAAAGTCCCATCCTATATAAATTCTTTAACCTCTGTTCCTTTTGATTTCTGTTTTACAAATGTATAAATAGATTTATCTTTGATTCATTCCCGAGTTTGTCAAACACTTGACGTTGTTCATACACTCAAAACAACTAAACACAGTCTATTAATAAACAATTGGCAATTATAAACGGCAGTTGTACAAGAATTGAGAAGAAGTTAGGCGTGATTTGGCGAGATTTCTGGACTTTAAGTTGGAGTGAAGTTTAGAGCATTAACAATTTCACTCTAAAAATAAGAGAGAAACTTTTCACTTTTTGTCCTAGTATGAAAGAATTCACTCTATTAAAGTGAATACTTCCTCCACGTAGAGTGAACTGGGTCAGTGACTCCAGGATTAGAGTGAAAATTTCACACCAAAAAAATTAGAGAATAAGATACTAATACAGCTTTCCCATGACATTAAGACTACTTAAAACAATCTTAAATATAAGATTCAACTGAATATCGACCATCGTAATATTTTATTACACCATACATAAAATAACTGACATTTTTATCACTGTTACAGGTTTTGTGTCGTGTTCGCCGAGTCCTTGCAAAAACGGAGGACTCTGCGTGTCATCGCCGCGCGACGAATCACATTGCAAGTAAGTAATAACCAGTCATTCTACCAGTCATTCACTCCTATCGCAATTACGAATCGACGTTTTCTGTCTCTCCGTTCGCAGATTGTACAATACCAATTATATTATGTGAGAAACGATTACCTCAATCGAGTTTCAAGACGTTTGTACTACATATACGTATACGTACTATAAAAACACACACATACGCGTGCGGACAGACTGGTGACAGTAAATACGCTTGCATTAGTGTAAATAAATTTTTTTTATTCTGATCTATTTCTTTGCATTATTTAAATCTTGATCATTTAAATATTGAATTAATATGCAGAAAAAGTAAAATTGTACATAAAGGAGAGTGGCCTAAATCGAATCGTTCCAAAGAATCTTTAATTTAAATGAATACAGTTAAGCAGATTTGCATGTTATTTATAATGTAAAATACAAGACACCAAACATGTCACAGCAGTTCTCTGTCATAACATAGAAGAGACACAAATATGTATTTTCAACCATCGCGCGAAAATTTTTTTAAAAAGGAAAGTCCTTGTAAATCATTATTTAAAAAGTGTTAAAAGTTTGAGAGGTAATTGATTTAAGATAATTAAAAAATGAGAAATTCAAAAATATCAAGTGTTTTGTGATCACTTTTATAGTTTATTGTAAAATTTGTTCCAAAGTTTGAAAGGATCCGTTTGTAAACTGTTCAAATTGAACAGTACAGTAGATAACTTATAGACTCGATTGTAGTAGTAATGATCGGTTGTACTGATGATCGGCCGACCAGATCTGTCCAAGGAATTAAATCAATAAAATATCAGACTTAGATTAATTGAGTTTTATTGATTTCAATTCTAATAAAATATAAACTATCAATAATTTTTTTTCTGAATAAAATTTTTATTTTTGACTGTCAAATTGCTCGTTTTTACTAACAAAAATACATTAAAATATTTTAAAATTCTATCTAAAATTACAAAAAAAATAGCGGTGTTCGATTTGGACCAGGGAATAGTCCAACAATAATTCTAAATCGAAAAAGCGTTTTTATATAATATTTTCCATTATAGTTCAACAGGTGATGAGAGATAGCTAGAGATCAAAATGATCTCAAGCAAAAATGAAGGGAGTTAAATGATCTTTCCAACGGCACTTTTAACTTTCTACGATCAGACTTTATTTATGCCTTATAGAGAGCAAAAACTGTAAATAGATTCGATTTACTTCTATATTCTTTTTATAATAATATAATAGTAGTTATACAGTGTAGAAAAAAAATTAGAATCAAATATTGAAATGTGCAAACTAGAAGAGTTATTCGATATTGAATTTATCAGGAAGCGCATACAAATTCGCAGAAAAGTTAAAGAAAATTAAAAAAAGTTAAAAAAAAATAATTTCAAATATTCAATTTTACTTGTGGATGAGGTTCATTTTCTTTCAATCAATAAATCGTATTACGAATCAATTCATTCGTCGGTATTCGCGTAGTAAACGCACCTTTACCACGCCGAGTTGGCGATCGACGACCGGGATCCAAGAAGAGGGGAATAAAGAGAGAGATACCGAAGGAGGCTCGAGGGGTATAACGGGGCGAGAGGGAAAGACAAGGAGGAGGCGAGAGAACCGGACGTTTCGCCGCCTCCCACGCGAAAAGGATGAGAAACCGTGAAAAGAAAAGGAAAGAGGATGAGGAGAAGAGAAGGAAAACTGCAAGTCGCAACTTCCACCACGCGAAATCACGCGAACTTCGGGAAAGTTTGCGTCGTGAAAATCGTGACATCTTTTAAAAATATTTTAATCTCTTCTGAGAGATTCGGAATATTTTTTTATAATTTCTATTATAGATAATAACGCAATGTAGGTTTTGTACTGATTTTGACTATTGCGATAAAAACGAGTGCTATAATAGGAGAGATGTGTATATTTATGAACAGTAGATTTGATAAAATATACAAAGATTTAAAGAAGATTGCATTAAATGTGTGGTTCGATTAAAAATTTGAACTTTAAAATGTTGAAAATGTAATCTTGCGCAATATTATACCAAAAGCAATGGTTTCATTTTCGAGAAATGTATAATACTTTTTTGATATTAAATGTATAATTTGTATTACACATAATATAATCATATTAGTATATTTTGCAAAATAAATATATAATTTTGTAAGTATGTTACTTTTTTAAGCATGATTACGTAGCATTTTGTTAGCTGATTATTTCATCAATATACTCATTTATTGTCGTTGCGAGTAAAGTTACTTGTCGATTAAAAATGCAAACGTTACGATCTGAAAAGCACAAGAGACAACATTTATTTCGCAATTCTTAGAATAATTAGCACAGCGTAACTTTAATACGCGCTGAGGACTATCATAAAACGTTCACCGGTAATAAAATACTTTTGTTCCGCAAGCGAATATTCTAACTGCAGGACTTTTTTGATTTCGTAGCACGTACGTACTTACGCACGCGTGTATACACATGTCTCCTGTCTCTTGATTGGTCGTCTATTTTTTTATAAAATATAGATCGTAAAATACTTGAACCATTAATTTTTTTATACATAGTTTATTAAAAAATGAAATTTGTTTTTCATTTCATTTAAATTACCAAAGTGAACCTGGCGCTCAACTTTATCAAAAATAAAAATTAATACCGCAGGCCGTTTGTAACTCAAACACAGTTAAACAAAAAGTGAAAAATAAAAAAATGGTCAGCGCGCAACTTTAAGATTTTTTAATTTCATTTATGCCATTCGGAAGAGAATCGTTTGTACCCGTTTGTACATCTTCTACTTTCGTTGTACTTCAAAGGGTTCGGAAATACAGCACGTTTCAGTTTTTGCGCAACCTATATAGCAAACTTAGCCAATTTTTATCGAAATGGTACCAATGGCATTCAAAAGAGAAGTAGGAGGGGTACAAACGGGTACAAACGAGTATTCTCTTTCGAATGCCGTTGGTTCCATTTCGATATCTTTAAAAATGATCGAGTTCCCCTCTTGGCACATTTTCGAAATTTTGAAATCGTTGTATCTCCGAAACCTTTGAGGTACAAACGAAAATAGGAGAGATACAAACGATTCTCTTTCGAATGATATAAATGAAATTAAAAAAATTTTAAAGTTTCGCGCTGGCCATTTTTTATTTTTCACTTTTTGTTTAACTGTTCGAGGTACAAACGAAACAATGATCGGTACAAACAAGTACAAACGGCCTGCGATATTAATTTTTATTTTTGATAAAGTTGAGCGCCGGGTTCACATCGGTATTTAAATTACATATAAATAATCTATATTGTTCATTTAAGTTATATGTATAACAATAATATTTAGATTACATCATATAAATAATAATTCAATCACACGCATAAATAATGGCTTTCTGTTTCTTAAGAAAGCTTTTTAAAATGCTATAATAATCATTTTATTTACCTTTAAAAGTTGTGTAATTTTTGTTTTTACGTTTATAATCACACATAAAATACTGTAATCAAGGAAACAGTACTTTTAATTGAATTGTTCGACTGTCTTAAACATTCAAATGAGCGTATAATTCTTATCGCATCTTTGCAATATACAGTAGTTTGTATGTAGATTGATCTCGATTACAGTATTCGTACTTGGTCTTTTCGCGACAAGCTGACTCAATGCTTTTCACCGTTGCACTCTCACGCCAGATCGAGGCGATCGACGTCTACTACGTGAGCGCCGAAGGGCTCACGATCGTCATGGATAATTGGTAAATTATCATGCCGTTTTCCTCCATCGATCGCCCTCTCAAAATATGGGGTGATGAACGCGGCGCGCATGATTTATACTGCATCAATACTTTAGTAGTTCGACACAGGGAATCTGTTCCTAAATGATGCGTGAATGAATAATCGTTGTTGAGCGCTGCCACATAGAGTGTAAAAAATCTATATATCACATAAATTTATCAGCAAAATATTCTATATTTGTGTTTAGAATTTAGTAACTTAGTAATATGTTTATTGTTAATTTTTATTAATCTTTAGAATCTTTGTGAAGGCACCAATGCTATTCTCAATTTTATCGGTATAGGTTTTGTAGATGCAATTATGTAATTGACGAATCACAAATAATACTGCCATTACATTCTATATTGCTTAATATTATTAATTTTTGATTAAACAATATCATTAATTAAGTATAAATTGAATTAAAATAAAACACTATCGTGACGCTGTCATCCGAACAAAATTCACTCGAGCGTTTCCTTCGTATGGAAATCGATGTGTCTACAATTGCAATCTGCCATGATTCGATCGCGCGCAAAATGACGCTTAGACACTCGCATCGACGGAACGTAATACCAACAGAATGGCGTGGGACGATACGGAACGGGATGGAACGAGATGGGTCGGGATCCGGTAATAGCGGTAATAGTCGGCAGTCGTGACCCGGCGACGCATCTAAATTACCTTTATCTCTCTCCCGGTCGTCGTAGGTTTCACTTTTGTATCAGTCAGCTCGACGCCTCCGTGATCCCTTGATACTTGACGGTGATTCCCTCGTTCTACGTACATACATGCATATACACATGCATATCAAGATTTCTGCAAACAGTGGCATGAATCCGAGAACGTTTATTATTATTCTAAGATTGAGATCTTCCCTTTAAATACTTTAGATAAGAAACAAAAATTCGTGAGACGAATTTTTCTTTTTCATGATAGCGATTATTATATTAATTCGTTTTTTTAGAAAGATAATGAAATTTTTCATACATTTTTATTAATGCTAAGATTTTAAATAGATATCTAAAAGAATTATTGATTTATATTTTTCCTTTAAGTAGATGTATTATTGTATATTTTACATTTTTTTATATCTATATATTTCTGTTGTGGTTTCAAGAGACAAGAATTTAATTAGTTGAATTTATTCAATTTATTGCGCATCATATTATTATGAAAGTTATTTTGAAATACTCATCTAATGTTAGCACGTTTCGCGTACTTAAACACAATACGAAATCGTATCTATTCTTTGCAGCTAC